AAAGAAAAGAATTTCCAGTCATCTTTGCAAGTCAAATCAAAGACCATTCCCCACGGAAGGCTTCCTGTCCTCCACAGAGATGAAGGTGGCCCTCTTGGAATAGTCTGGACTTGTTCAGGTGGGACTTCAGGACCGTGAGATGTCTGTCTTAGCGGAAAGGGTGTTCTCTTAGTACACGAGGCGTGTGTGTCATTTACTGCTGCACCTCCAGAATCCTGCTGAGTGCTGTGTTCATGGGAACAGTCAACAAAAATGTTTGTTGAAATAATATTTCTTTGTCTTAAAACTTTCAGGGGCTCATTCTGAAAGAAGTCAGTGCAGAAACCCCCTAGAATTGCAGAATTACCATCTGGGAAACAGGGCAGCTCTGAGACTTGTAAATTGAGACCCTGTAAGAGTTGAATGCAGCCACTCTTAATTAATAACCATATGCTCTTCCCGGGGTCGTTTAGAGAAGCCACTACTCTTGCTAATAAACTTTAGAATACTTGGTGCTGACTGTTCGAGAAACAGGTAGGTCCCAAAGCATCCCCTGTTATTAGTGAGAGGCCCAATCTGATGGTGCCGCTCCCTTGGCCCACCACGCCTGCTGAGGCGTCTCTCAGCCTGAGGCCTCGTGGCTGCTCACCATGCCTGCATCTCTGCTGCTCTGGAAGACAGCTGTGCTTTGAGATATTCTGCATGCGAATCCCCAAAGTCACCATCCTGACAACATGTAAACCATATTCCCCATCGCAGTATCATAAACCAGTCTTTCGAACCTGATGGAAATTTGTTGAATTCTATCTGCAGAACATGGAACACTGCCCAGCCCATGACAGTTACTCAATAAATGTCTGTGGAGTGAATGAATGAAATGCATACAAACTATGAGAACATTATCAAGACAAAGTCATGAAGCTGCTGATAGCAGCATTAGGCATTAGCCTCTACCTTTCTCCAGATGGAGAAATTGGGCAAAACTCCAGTACTCACAACATTTTCAAGGGGCGAAAGAATACTCAGGGAGGAAGGAGCGTAGGGGAGGTTGCAGGATCAACAGCTGCCTCTTTAGCTATTTAGTTATTAGAATAAGTTTGAAGGTCTTGAGGGATTCTGACCGAGGTCAAACAGGGAGGCTGGGACAAGTTGGGAATAGCACCCCACTAAGAGGGGCCTTCCAGGTGGGAGCCAAGATTCAACAGCAGGGCCCACGGGCTGCTCCCAGGCAGAGAGTGTGGCTGATTTCATCACCACCTTCTGTCCTTTCCTCTTGGATGTGTAACTGAAGGCACCAGTAAACCTCCCAGGCTGTGGAGCTGGTCACAGACATCTAGTTGGGGGAGCCATGGGCTCCTCCATCACAGTGCAGCTGAGTGTTCTTTGCTGAGCAGGTGCCAGTACATGAAAGCAGAACTGACCTGTGGAGAAAAGTAAGCACCCTGGGAATCCTGACTTCTGAGGAGGGGACCCTGGGAAATATACAATTTCCAGCTATGGACTGGGATATAGCTCAGCAGCACAGTGCATGCCTGGCAAGCACAAGGTTGCGAGTTCGATTCCTGGTACCCAAAAAAACAGGAATGAACAGCTACTCTCCTGGGAGAAGGATCAGAGCTAGTGCCATTCAGTTGTCCTACAAAACTAGCTTTATTTTCTAGGTGGCCTGGCCTGTTCAGCTGGGATCATCTAAGAGAAAATGCAGAGATCAGGGAATCTAGAAGGGAAGACAAATTATGCAGTTGGTTGTTTGGTGTCTTCTAACGAAAACAGCAGTGTTCCAAGAGAGTAAATGCAGGGGTCTCAGCTAGCTAAGGAAAACCTCTACGAGGAAGTAATGCTTCTGCAGAAAGAGCAATCGGGGAAGGGAACAGCACACACACACACTCTCTCATGCATACACTCACACACACACACACACCCATACATCTCTTTAATATCTGAAGCAGTGCAAAAGGCTGGGGATATCGTTCAGTGATGAAGAACTTGCCTAACGACCTTGAGGGCCTGAGTTCAATCCCCAACATTGCAAAAATGAATACATGAAAGAATGAATGAATGAATGAATGAATAAGTAAATAAAGCACACAAAGCAGACAGCCTTAAATTGCATGTCGGAAACACTCAAGCTTCTCATTTTTTTTTTTTTTCTGGTTGCTGCAGTAATTCCTGTGGCTGCTTCCCCAGGGTCCCAGCCGTTCTCCCTTCTCTCCATTGCCCACAGCGTGCCATGGCCCGGAACGCCTTTCTCTCTCTGTCTCTCCCCTCCACAAAGCCCTTCAAGGGCCCCTGCAGAGGCACACCGCAGTCAGCAGCGTCTTCCAGGAGCTTATTCCAGGAACACGGCCACCGGGAGCCAGTTCCTTTTCGGGAGGACGTTTTCCTGAGTTCTGCGGTTTCTAGCCCCCTTGGAGCTAAAGGTCAGCTCTGCATGTGGCTTAAATCTTCTCCTATGCTGCCTTTCCGACAGGAGGCAGAGAGGCTTGAGAGTTTAAATTACTTGTAAAATGAATAAAGGGGAAAAGGAACCACAGTACGGTCGTTCCTTGGTATCAAACAGGAAATGGGCCCAGCCCCATACCCAAACCTCCAAGTTGCCCCGCTTCCTTGCATGAAATGTCATAGTCTTTGCATGCAACCTACGTAATCTTTCTGTGTACTTTAAATCATCTGTAGGTTATTTATGATACCTAACATAGCATAGATGCTATGTAAAAAGCTGTTATTCTATATTTTTTAGGGAATAATGACAAGGGAAAAAGTCTGTATATGTTCACGATAGATGCAACTCTCATAGGCCGAACTACATCCTCCAACTGCTCTTGGCTGTATCCAATGACGCAGAGCCTGTGGACACAGAGGGCCAGCTGTCCTAGTGGGAACTGGACATCAGTCTTTATCATGGAGCCCTAAGGAGTGGCCAAACAGAAATTCCCCAGTTAGCTCAAATGACAATGTTGTGTTTACTTTTATTTTGACATGGATAAATCTCTCTTCCTATCTGTCTTGGTCTGTTTTTTGTTTCTATAACTGAATACTGCAGACTGGGTAATATTTAAAGTACAAACATTTATTCAGCTCATGGTTCTGGAGGCTACAGGCCCATGGTAGAGGGGCTATGTCTGGCAAAGGCCTTCTTGCTGTGTGTACCCTGCGGAGCCCCAAGGCGGGCTGAGCTTCAAATGGTGACTGAGATGGGGAGGAGATGCAGAATCAAACTTGCTTTAATAACAGACCCACTAGAGAAATAATGATTAATCCATTAACGGGTAGATCCATTAATGGGTAGGCAGAGCCCTCATAGCCTAATCACCTCTGCTTCTTATACCTCGTGGTGAGGATTACATTTCAACCTGAGTTTTGGTGGGGACATTCTAACGATAGCACCATCTAAACTCCAAAATAAAAATCAAAGAGTTAAATAAATGTTATTTGAGATATGAAAGCTTATTTTCATAAGGCAAAAATCATTACGTTGTTAAAGCTTTCATTTCTAATAGAATGGCAAATTGTTTTGTATGGAATATCCTAGTTTTAAAAAATCTGCCAGGTATGGAGGCACTGTGGATGCTCAGGCAGGAGAAGCACAAGTTTGAGCCTAACCTGAACAACTCATGACTTAGCAAGACCTTGTCTCAAAATACAAAATAATTGTGAAAAAAGGGCTGAGGATGTAGCTCAGTGCAAAGGCCTTGGTTTCGATCCAGAGTAGTGCAGAAAAAAAAAAAAAAAAAGGGAAACTTACTAAAATTTATCCTTTCTCCTACTCATTTAAAAAAATCTATATTCTGAGCCAGGTGTGGTGGCGCACGCCTGTAATCCCAGCACTTGGGAGGCTGAGGCAGGAGGATGCCATGGGTTTGAGGCCAGCCTGGTCTACATAGTAAGTTCAAGGACAGTCTGAACTACATAGCAAGACCCCATCTCAAAAAAAACCTGTGAATCCAGTGAACACATACCGATATGTCCAGATCTCCTGCCTTCATTTTCCTACCCATCTTCTCACTTTCTCTTAAAAGTGCTTTTTCTTCCTGATTACAAACATCTTACACTCCTACTGTGGAATTTTTTTGATTCAGTAAAATATACAAAAGGAAATCACAAATCATGTGTGATTTCTCCACTCTTAGATAGTCACGGTTTCTTATATTTTCTTCCATCTTTTAAAAATAGGCTATCTGTGCAAATAGTAGTCTTTGTCGCATGGAGCTAACTGCATGGTTTTTGTATTTTACTTTCCCTTGGTTACTGTCATATCATACCCCTGCCATCAGAAACTTTCTCAAACTTATTTGTAATTTACAGTGTAGATTAATTCAATGTAGCTTAATTTAATTCAGTGTAATCTACAGTGTAGACTAACACTTTCAGTGTGCTTTGTTTTTCTTCAAGAGTCAATGTTGTGCTGGGCGTGGTGGTGCATGCCTCAGGAGGCTGAGGCAGGAGGATTGTTGCAAGTTTGAGACCAGCCTGGGCTACAAAGTGAGTTCAAGTCCAGCCTGAACTGCATAGTGAGACCCTGTCTCAAAAAGACCAAAAAAAAAAAAAAAAAGATTCAATGTTGTCTAGGTCCTAACAGGCTGTGCAAACTCTTTGTGTGTGTCTGTGTGCAATGTGACTTCATCTATGACCTTCTTCAGGACAGCTGTTTTTTCACTCATCCTGGTCCCAGCACTGACACAGCTGGGCCATGCCAGACTGCACTAGGTTAGAATGAATGGGTTTCGGGCTCGAAGAGACTGTGCCAAGGGACAGATTGGAGCAGAGCTTCACTTTCCACATCACTTGGGAGTCCTCTCTGCTTAACCAGGAAGCCACAGAAACAAATTCCTCAGCAAACATTTAAAGGCTTAAGGCAGAAGCGCCTTTCCTTAAGCTAGAGTGCACCTGGGACAACGGGAAATTTCTGAGAAGGGGTGGGAGGGGCAGGAGGAAGTGAAGAAGGCTCTCCTTGGCCGTGCACACTGAGAAACCATTAAGTGTGGAGTCCTAATGCTGACAAGTTGAAGGGCCTGGGCTGACAGGAGGAGGAGGGAGATGGAGCCGGGTGAGTCCTGCCAATCTGTTTAACTTCTCTGGAAGTCTGGAGGGAGTAAGGGGTGAGGAGAAGAGACAGGATGGTCTAGAGTGATAGTGCATTCCAGCACCTTCTTCCTACCTCCCCACCTTCATTTGGGCCTTGAAGCACGAATCATCTGGCCACTCATTTTCTTTCCTGAAGCCGTACACAATCATTAAGAGCTTTGGGCCCGGAGTGGTTCTAGGAAGTCTGAGGAGGTCCACAGTCCACAGGACCTGACATGCATATACCCAACCTGCTCCTTCCCACGGGAGCGCACCATTAATCAGCTGATCAGCTGCTCCCAAATGACTCTACCTTATATAAAATTGTTTGTTTTATACAAATGAGTCTGTAGTACATATTATTTGATGACTTAAGGTTTAGAATCTTAATCACATGAATTGAAAATCTTTCCATTTCAGTGTATAGTAGCTTATTAAAATTTCTAATAACCTACGGTTTCCATGCTGGATATATTAGTACACTTATTTAATCAATGTATTAATTTGTTTAGTTGTTACTACCTCTTATTGATGGATACTTTGATCTTTTTTAATATTTGCTCTTATAAACAGTGCCACAATGGATGTCTCTTTGATGTAACTCTGTGTATGTGCATAGATATCTTTATATTGTGTGAAAGAACACATGATGGGACAAAAGCAATCTCCACTCTAAGTCTGGGTGGATAGTCAGCACATTTTCTCTAAAAAGTCTGTGTGAATTTATGCTCCCACTGTCAGTGTAGGAGGCAGCCCCTTTCCATATGCCCTTGACAAAGTAGGTTAGAGCTAGTTATTATATATTTTAATAAATCAAAGATGGGTCTCATTACGGGTTTAGGTGCATTTCTGTGACTATAGCAAGTCTATCTTCGTAGTATTTATAGTGACTTTTATATATTGTGAATGGTAATCCTCTGTACATGAGAAAAAGACCTAATGATTTAACTAGTGCAGTGTCCTGGGAACACCTTTCTCTTGCCAACAGCTATTGGAATTGCTGGGTACTAGGTGTGAACAAAAAGACAAACAAACAAAAAAACAGTTCATCATGTAGACATCAGTAAACAATGATATCGCAAGGGAACAATCCAGTAGCAAGTAATTAGCTGAAAAATAGAAGGTTCAGAGCCTAAGAAATTGCCAAGCAGGGAGTTGAGCCTTGGAGCTGTCCTGTCCTGCTGAGCTGCTTCAAGACTTCTGCTTTTTTTTTTTTTTTTTTTTTTTTTTAGGATGAGGAAGTTGAGATAAGGCAGTGTGTGTGTGTGTGTGTGTGTGTGTGTGTGTGTGTGTGTTACTGGGGATGGTGCTACACTGACTTACATTCCCAGCCCTCCAAAATGTTTTACATTTTTGTGGAAAGATTCTCAGAAGTTACTAAGTTGCCCTGACTGTGCTTGAATTTGTGACCTTCCTGCCTCAGCCTCTCAGACTGGTGAGATTACAGGTGTGCAGCACAGGTGGTTTTCATTGTGTAGTTTTGAACCTTTTGGGTGCTACATAGAAGCCCGCTGTAAGAGGCGGCAGTGGAGGTCTGCCTGGTTCTTCTACTACAATAACTCCTCTTAAGATCTGTTTATTTTTTCATCTGAAGAAAGCACAAAATTCACTCTAGGAGAAAAATAGTCTGAAAACCTCTACACCTCCCAGAGGTGAAAAGCTAGGTTTTGAAGTCAATCTGACTAGATTTCACTGCCAGTTCTGTCACTTGTTAGGTAGGCGACAGCGGGCAACTTACCGCACCTCCCTGACGACCTTCCTCCTCATCGGTTACATAGAGCTGATAATCTCTCACTGGGTAGTTGTAGGGATAGAAGAAGATGATGCTTGTAAAGCCTGGAGCTTAATCAGAATCAGTAAATATTAGCTAGATAGAAAATTATTGTTGCAGGTGCCAAGATGCCCCTGTGCTCTGAAATGCCTGGGGAAGATTTCAGGGAGGAAGTGGATGCTGAGTTTTGCTTGAAGAACTGCTCCAGTGCAAACAAAAAGAGACCAGGGGAGGAACAGGGGCTGCCCAGAGGTGGGCATGATCTATTTGGAACCCACAGTATAAATAAAGAAGAGTTTTTATGGGCCATTTGGGGATAAGATAGAGGATATGTTAGGACCACACTCTGGAGCGTTTTGAATCCTTGACTAAGAAATTTGGATTTGAAATTTCAAGTAATAGGACATGTTTATTCGTGAACACTGAAAGCGGTACATAACACTACAGTAATTTCACCACATAGATTTTTTTATATGTACTCATACATATGTGTCCTTTCATACTTTTTAAAAGGGAAAAATGAAAAATAAAGACGAAATTATTTTTCAACACTGGGGATTGAGTCCAGGGCCTTTGCACTGAGCTACATCCTCAGCCCTTTTCCTACTTTTTATTTGGAGACAGATTCTCACTAAGTTACTAAGTTGCCCTGGTTGGGCTTGAACTTGGAATCTGCCTGCCTCAGCCTCTCAGAATAGTGGCCTTAGAGGAGTGCCAGGTTAAGAATGAGGTCGTTTAAAAGCCCCCAAACCTGTAATAACAATGAGAAATGTAGAAGGAAAAGAAGCTGGAATAAACTCAAAGACAAAGGCAGAAGGAAGAGAGCTGGCTCCACCAGGCGTGTGGTGACAGGTGACATTCTGTCTGCTGCCTGTACCAGGGAGCACTCACCCTTTGCTGTCTTCGCCTGGCACATCCCAGGCCTTCACGCCCAGCCTGACTGCGCCGGCCCTAGTTGGCTGTGGCTCCCTTTGCCTGGCTGGCCTTCCTTTGCTCCTGCTGGGGTTTTGGGAAGCCCTGCAAGTGAAGATGTTTCAATCTGTATTTATTAGTTTGCCACATGCCAGGAATGCCAGTCCCTTGTGCAGAGAGTGTGGGCCCTTTTCTCCTCTCCCAGCACCTGCGTTTAAATCCCCATTCGACTTTGAATTTGGCTGTTTTGATAGAAGTCTCACTGCCTTCACCGCAGCTGAATTAATCCGAAAGTGTAGCTTCAATTCCGCCATTTCTGCTGAAAAACCTGTCTTTAATCACAGTAATATTCTTGCCTACACAAAAGGAAAAAAGGAAAAGCTGGGAGAACAATGAAAATCTTTACCACAATTTCATCACCCAAAGATAATCTGTAAAATGCCACGGTTGAATCATTTTTTATCTTACTTTTTAATATCTAGGGGATTATTTTCTCCTATTCTTTGTTCTTTTTTGGTGCTATGAATGCCTTTGTTGGTTATATCAGATTAAAGGAATAAAGTTTACATATCTAGCTGTTATTGTAGCATCCTTAGGTCACACCGAACATCTTTATGCTTACATTTTTGTAAACAAGTGATTTTACGAAAAAGAATTCCTAGAAGAGGAATTTATGGGCCAAAGGTATTCACATTTCAAGGGTTAAAAAAAAGTTTTTTACAAGCCAGATACGGTGGTGCACCCCTATAATCCCAACAAGCTTGAGGCCAGCATAGACTACATAGTGAGTTCAGTGCCAGTCTGAACTACATAGAGAGACTTTGTCTCAAAAAATAAATAAATAAATATAGGACCTCATCTTATTGAAAAGTTTTTGCACATCAAAAGAAATCATCAACAGAGTAAAAAAAAAAGCCCATAAATTGGGAAAAATGTTAGCCAACTGTCCCTCATACAAAGGACTTTTATCAAGAACATATAGAAAATTTTAAAAAGTCAGGCCCCCAAAATTAAAAAACCCAATCCAGAAATGGGCATAGAAGATGAGTACACACTTCTCAGATAAAGAAATACAAATGGCAAATAAATATATGAAAAAATGTTCAACATCATTGGTCATTCAAGAAATGCAAATTAAAACCATACTGAGATTCCACCTCACCCCAGAAAGAATGGTTATCATCAAGAAATCAACCAATAACAAGTGCTGGAGGGGTATGGGGAAAAAGGAACCCTTCTCCACTGTTGGTGGGAGTGTAGACTGGAATAACCACTGTGGAAATCAGTTTGGAGATAACTCAAAAACTAGGGTTAGAGGTCCCATTTGACCCAGCTACTCGCTTTCTGGGTATTTTTCCAGAAGAACTGAAAACCACAGTGATATATGCGCACCTATGTTTATAGCCGTGCAGTTTGTATAGCTACGCTTGATCTTAGACAAAAGGCCAAGAAGAGATAATTTGTATAGCTAAATCTTGGAAACAACCCAAATGCCCATCAACTGAGGAACAGATAAAAAAGATGTGATATTTTTATACAGTGGAGTATTACTCAGCTATAAAGAAAGGTAAACTCAAGGCTTTTACAGGTAAATGGTTGCAATTAGAGACCATACTCATAAGTGAAATAAATGAGACCCACATAGTTAACATCATATTGTCTCCCTAGTGTAAAAAACTGAAAGAGTAAATAAAATTCAAAAGGTATAATAGATATTGTGCAAGGGAAAGAAATGGCTCAAAGGGAAAGAACAACTGGGATGAAGGAAAGGAGAAAAGAAAGAAGGAAAAAAACATACACACACAAGATAGCTAAGATAATTGTACTACTAATATCTATTGGCTTATTGAAAGGAACAGTTAATGCTTAATTTTTTTGATCAATTTTTCCTGCCTATATCTGGTAATCTGAACAACCACTTTGAAGATAACAATATGCAATATAACAGTCATTGTTGATTTCCTATCATCTTGTTTTGAAATTTTGTATTATTTTTAATGTTTTTTATTCTTTTTAAAATAAAAAAATTCAAAGGAAGAAAATACAGACAGAAAGCAAAACTAAATAAATAAATAGCCAGGCATGGTGGCACACACCTGTAATCCCAGCACTTGGGAAGCTGAGGCAGGAGAATCGCTGTGAGTTCGAGGCCAGCCTGAACTGCAGAGCCTTCAAGCCTTGTCTCCTCTCCTCCCTCACAGCCCAAGTTCCCTCTGAGTGCATATACACTCCCAATCCTGCTTCAACCCATGAAAAATTTGTTCAGTTGCTGCCAAATAGTACTAGATGACATAAAATTGTTTGTCTTACATAAATGAAATTATATAATGTAAATTATATAAAGTATATATACCTGGTGACTCACTTTTTAAAAAACCTTAATCATACATCTTAGAAATCCTTCCAAGTCAGTGCATATTAGTCTATCAAAAGTTTCTAATAATTTACAGTTTTCTGTTCCAGCATAAAAGCACAATTTCTTTCCTACATTTGTTAATTTATTTAGTTTGTTACTAACCCTTATTGATAGTCATTTAGGTTGTTACTAATATTTGCTCTTATAACAATACTGTCATGGATGTGCCCATTGAAATAACTGCATACATGTGCAAATATTTTTATATGAAAGATGTCTGAAAGATTAGCTGTTGGGTCAAAGGCAATATCCACTTTAATTTTTGATGGTTATTAACTGATTTTCTCTAGAAAGTCTGTGTGAATTTACTTACACTCTCATTGTCCTTAGATGAGACACCCATTTCCATATGCCTTCAATGAAATAGATTATTGTTATTCTTTTAAATATTTTGAATATTTAAATCAGCTCAACTGCAGATCTCATTATTATTTAAGGTTGCATTTCTGTGATTCTAACAAGGCTGTCTTCCTCACATCTTTGTCCACGTTTATACATTGTGAATGGTAATCTATTGTCCCTGCTCTCCTGTCGGGTTACTCCTTAAATCTCATGTACACAAGTGTTTGTCCATTTGGCGAACATCGCTGAGCTCCCACCAGGGAAGGCGGGAGGCTGTGAAGGTCGGGGGCAGCTATGGAGCCAGCTTACCTGGGCTTGAGCCTCAGCTCTGCCCAGCACCCTCCTACATACCAGGAACAGTATTAATATTCCGCCAGAGTGCTGCGAGAATGTAAGTGACCGCAGACACATAAAACGCTCCGGAGTGTGACTGGCCTATTGTAAGTATTCTAGGAACATTACCTGTACTTTTCTAAAGTTGGGTCCCATCCTTCTTTTTAGGAATAGGGGGTTCGGGTTCAAGAAGATGTCAAAGGCCCCAGCTTCTGTGAGACTAAGTCTGGACATTATTAAATGCTCTGCAGAAACTAAAGAAGGTGGTATGAGGGCAGAGGGTGGAGCTTCGTATTCCATGGCCAAAGAAAGCCCCGTGGAGAGGAGGCTATCTCCAGTTTTGCTTTCTCAGAAGACAGGAGTTTCGCTTTTCACAATTCTTCACAGGCAGATGACTGTTTTAATATCTCCTGCGTGGCTCAAAGGCTGACACTACCTTAGGATGTGACTTGATCCTTTCTACTCTTGCCTGTGTTAGTCAAGCAGGCGTGAAGAGTCTCCCGTCTGGGGCTCACCTCTCTTCTGACTCATGTCGCTAACGCTGAAGAGCCGTGGCCAAGGCAGAGTGTAGGTGCTGACATGTTTTTCTAATTGATGCCACTGGATTTCCTGCATTGTTGAACCTCTTCCTGATCCTCTCAGCTTTCTTTCCTGGTGCCTGTGCAAGTCCTTCTTTTTGTTCTCTTAAGATGATGTGTCTTTGACATGAAAAGCTGTCAGCGAGCCAAGTGCATAATTATATTAAGTGGAATAGAAAGAAAACTTAAGTGCCTAATAGAGAAGACATTCTCTCTGAGCACTACAACTGTGGGGACGGAGAAGAAGACGGCATCATTTCAGCTCCCCTTTCCTTTCCTAACTGAGAGAGGTCTGGGTAAATCAGACAGTGCTGCCTGCTCTTGGGAACTATGTCAAGCTGTGGACAGCAGCCGGGAGAAGGTTGTCCAAGGACCTATAAAGGCTCCCATAAGCTCTTTACTGCCTTCCTTAGGTATGGGTCTTGCAGGGTAGGTGGGCCTCCTGGAGGGAGGTATAGGACATGATTCCTGGGAGGGCTCAGTGATCCTGCTATGAACATTTCAGACCCTTCAGAAACAAGTGAGATGGGACTAGTTTCCAACAGGATCTAGGCCAGTTGCTTTCAAACCTTTAACCATGACCTAAAATTTATATCATGGCCCAGTTACACATAAAATTATTATTTCTCTTCTCAAATGTGCAGTGCATTATGATCTCTTCTCTATTCTTAACATGGGTCACCTTTGTTCCATAAACTATTAATGCGTCAGACCCAATGTTTACAAAATGCCATTAAGGAACTCAAAGGCATCTGTCTGAGATCTTGTCCTGTTTCCAACATCATATCTACTTAAATGCCCAAATTACATGAAGAGGCTTAAAAACTTTGTACCATTTGATCCAATAATTTACCTTTGATGAATCTACCCCAAGGAAAGACTGCTCCTAGAAACAGATCAAAGGAGCTTTGCAAATATTCTGCTTTCAGTCAGACATTTGGCAAATTTGTGGGAAAGGTAAAAATACGAAAGCTGGATTTGATTTTTAAGACTGTGAAGAACATGTTAAAAGACCTAATTCAACTTCTTTACATAAATACTTATATGTATTCATAGCTAGTGTTGCTGAGGAGCCCAGGGTGACTCTGGAGGTGGCTCTGAGGGTACTCCATGGGCCTCAGACTTAAACCCTAATGCTTAAAACTGCGTAGAATCACTGACTTGGATGAAGACATGGAAAACAGTTTAGCCAATCTGCTGATGGCAAAGTAAAGCATCCAGGTGACAGAATTAGGATTCAGAATATTGCAACAGTTAGGAAAGAGTCAAAAGCAGAAAATCTATGTGGAAGTTCAAAGTGCAAAGGCCATGGAAGCTGTGGTGGTTTTTCCCTAGGGTGCTGCTCAGCAGCGGCCCTGGCTATTGTAACTCCCCAGTCACAGCACCAGAAATGTGCCCAGGCATCACCAAATGTCCTTGGGAAACCCATATCTTTCTCGTGGAGAACTGCTGGGGTTAACTTGATGTTAATGGATTTTTTTTTTTTTTGGTCTTTTTCAGATAGGGTTTCACTAAGCAGTTCAGGCTGGCCTTGAACTAATTTTGTAACCCAGGCTGGCCTCCAACCCGCAGCGATCCTCCTACCTCAGCCTCCCGAGCGCTGAGATTACAGGCATGCGCCACCACTCTGGGCTACAATGGAGGTTAAGAGTAGGAAAATTTATTGTAGAATAGGAATGGGGAATGGGGAATAGTTACAGCTCCTGAGAGACAAGAGGGTTCCTAAATGGGCTGCCCGACCTAATGGATTTTTTTGACAGTGAATGCAGTGTAAACATTGCCAGCCAAAAACAGCAAGGCAAACACAATCTGAGGTTGTATTACTACAGTGGTAAAGAGTGACTAATAACTGCTGAGTGCTTCCTCTGTCTGTGTCTCTCATATAGCGCAGATTCTCACATGTGCATCCTCTCTTATTGCCCTTGTGAGCTCCAGGAAATAGGAATGCAATTGTCTCTCCAGGTTTCAAATGGGGCCACCGAAATCTAGGGACATTAAGCAACTTGCTCAAGATCCCACGGCCTCTTGTGGAGGTGGTGGGGCTGTGTCACTCCATAGCCTGAACACTTGACCAATGGACTCTGGAAGTTTCACAGCCATACATTACCTATACACCCTACAAAGTGACCAATGTCCTCCTCATAGACCTGGAATGGCTGAGAAGCAGGAAATAGGTTGTAAACTCCCCAATATCTAAAGCAAGAACTTGTCCCACAGCTGAGGCCTTCTCCTCCAGTCAGCCCACTGACTTCACGTACAAAATCCGATTACATCTGTTCTTACGTCAGGGTGATAGAGTAGCTTTCAGTACCTGGAAGCATTTTGTCTTCTGAGGCCTCAGTCTTTTAGCACTGTGGCTCGAGGTTTGGATGCAGAGGTCACCGGAAGTGAGATCCTCCCTGTTCCTGGCCGCGGCCTACTGAATTGCCCGGTGGGGCTGAGCCAGGAAGTCAGGAGGCAGAAAGGCTCAGAGCTGGAGAGGAATCTTACCTAAGTCAGAGCTGGTTTCCATAGAAATGGTTGAGAACTGTCAAGGGCTCTTGAACTCAGTCATAGCTGTGCAGTGACCTGTCCCTCCCCAACCCTAGTGGCAGCACTGGAGCTCAGGTCTGTGGACCTGCAGAGCGCGGGGAACAACAAGGGACACCACACACAGGAGATGGGCGTGGAGCAGCTCATCCTGCGCAGAGGCCAGCTCTTCAGCCTCCAGCTGAGCTTCAACCGGCCCTGCCAGCCCCACAGCGACCACATCACCTTCGTGGCTGAGACCGGTGAGCTCTGAAGGTTCCCTCAGCCTGGGGACATTTGCAAAGTTCACTGTGGGGGTCTCCGCCTCGCCCAATTTGGGACCCCTAAGACCTTCATGTTCAGTCCCGCATTAGTGCTGTCAAAGGAAGATGTGGCAGTTCAGCATTGTGGCCATAGCAGCCAATCTTCAGAAACACTATGCTAGTCAGGTGTGGTGGTGCACGCCTGTAACCCCAGCACTCTGGGAGGCTGAGGCAGGAGGATTACAATTTCAAGCCCAGCAGGGACAACTTAGTGACTTTGCAAAATCCTGCCTAGAAAAAAAGAAAACAAACAGTATGCTAAAACTTCACACTTGATTCTATTTAATACCCACAAAAGAGTTTCAGGTAGGTACTCTTAGGATTCCCACTTTACAGGTTAAGAAAACACAAAAGCACAGAGATCTTAAGTGGTTTGCCTGTAGAAACCCAGTGGTCACCAGAGCTTTATGCAGAAAGGATTAGCAAGTGTCGGGAGGAAGTGAGAAATCTAATACCACACATATTTCTGAGCTTTCCTTGGGGTCATTCTCTCCTACCCAGGCCCTGAGCCCTCGGAGCTGCTGGGGACCCGCGCCAAGTTCTTGCTCACCCAGGCCGGGCTTGGGGACATCTGGAAAGTGTCTGACTTCACTGTTGACTCCACCTTCCTCCAAGTCTCCCTTTTCACACCAGCCAGCGCAGTCATCGGTCACTACACGCTGAAGCTAGAGATCGCTCAGAGCCAGGGCCGCAGTGTGACTTACCCGCTGGGCACGTTCACCCTGCTGTTTAACCCCTGGAGCACAGGTAGGACTTGCTCCAGCTTGTGATGTTGCCCTGACCCACTGGGATTCCTCTGTGAGGGTCTTCGGAGAAAGGCTGGGAGATAAATCAGACATATTTCTAGATATATTCCCATGTGCTCTCGCTAAAGATCGTCTCTACCAGCTTTGAACGGCAGGATGAAAGTACTTCTGATGTAATGCTAAGGGAAGTAGTTTAGCAAATAGTTCAGACCCTACCTATATTAAATATATGTGGACAGAAAGAGAGCACACAGCACACTGTACTTTAAATGTAATGGTGGGTGTCTGCATAGTGAGCATGAGTGAGTTCCACTGTCTTTCTCCGTCCATCTGAATCAGCCCCGTTCAACCTTCAGCCTGTCTTTTAATTTACGTTACTTTTGTCCTCATTTTTCTGAGTGAAGGGGAATTGTCTTGGGCCACAGAGAAATATTTAATATAGGTGATGTATATAAGTAGCATGACTTCCTTTTAAAAAAATATTTTCATTGTAACATTTTAGAAAAAAGGGGGCAAAGATAGGGGGGATGCAGGTTTTGCCCATATAGTTTCCAAGTCTCTGCAATAAGCTTGTAACTTTCAAAATCTATACTTTAAATCCTTTGAAAAATGTAGATTGTATTGCCAGCCTCTCTAGAGCAGCACATGGTAGACTTCTAAGGGGACCCGATCCTGTTTTCTATTACCATCAATCCACTATTCCTCCTGTTTTCCAGAAAGATACTGTCATGACTGGTTTTTAATTTTATTGCTCTGTTTTTCCATTTGGGGCTTTGCCCCTTCTACTACGTTTAACTGCCCAGAGGACGACGTGTACCTGCCGAGTGAAGCCCTGCTGCAGGAGTACGTCATGAGGGACTACGGCTTTGTTTACAAGGGTCACGAGGGCTTCATCACGTCCTGGCCCTGGAACTATGGGCAGGTAACGCCATCTCCCAAAGGTGGCTTGGGTGTGCTTGTCAGATGGTCCCAGGAAGGAGGCTGGCAAAGGCCAGTGTGAGGTGTTGGCGATTTCTATGCAGTGAGAGGAGCAAGGAGGCACCTTTCCTTTTTCCTTTTCTGTTTATGTGTGTTCAACATAAGCAAAGCAGACCAGTGACTGTGACGAACCTCTGTGTACCCCTTGCTCAGCTTTGACAGTGACTGGTTTACGGTGAACCTTCTTTCATCCCTTCCAGAGGTTTTCCTATGGCCCACAAGGGAAGAATGCGTTTTACATTTCAAAGTTGCCTAAAAGAATTACAAAAAACTTTGGTGTGGGACTGGGGATTTAGCTCAGTGGCACAGCGCTTGCCTGGCAAGCACAAAGTCATGAGTTCAATTCCCGGTACTGGAAAAAACAAAACAAAACAAAAACTTTGGTGACATTGAAAAATATATTCAAATTTGTGCCCATAAGGAACACTTGATTGGACCACAGCCATATTCATTCACTCAGATGTTGCCTGAGGGTGTTTCACGTTACAGTGCAGAGCTGAGTTGTGGAGACAGAGCCAAAGCCTGTCAGGGCTGAAACACTTACTAGCTGCCCTTGCAGGAAGAATGTGCCCAGCCCTGGTCAATACTCCTACATTTTCTAGTCAATGGATTTTTTGGGAAGCAAATTACAGATGCATATCATTTAATCTAGTAGTACTTCAGAACACAGCTCCAAAAGATGATTCCCTCCAACAAACTGGTCATAACTGAAAAAGTGAACAAGAATTCTTTCATAGAATCAAGTATTTCAGTCACTGTTCAGAGGGGACCTTTGGCTGTGGATACTTTTCAACTCACAAGCACCAAGCACAGTGCTTGTCCTTCCTCCCTCCCTCCACCTCAGTCCTGGGCACAGACTCCTGGGAAAGGCATCAGGGGTATCAGGGAGCCTCTCTGAGAAAGGAAACATTTCCCCCATCCTCCAGCAATGCAACTTGTGAAGCTCTTTTGAGCTGAGATAGATTCTAGTGCAGTTGGTAGCCGGAGGCTTGAGACGTACGACATAAACATCGGCCGTACAGAACCTTCACTGTCCTCTCCAGTGCCCACAGCATCAGCTCTGAGCTTCCCTACCTAATTTCAAGGCTCTCCACATCTCCTTCCTCTCCTCTAATGTCAGCTCTAAACACCCTTGTCTAGCTGGAGTTGCACAAGCCCTCCAGAGAGGAGACTTCCCTAGTCCTTGCTCAACTCCGTGCTCACAGACCTCAGGCAACTGTCCTCTCTCTTCTCAGCCAGCGGGGACCTCGCACCCTGCATTCTCCTTGCTGCACTGGTTAGTTCTTCAGAATTCCAAACCAAATACACCCCCAATTTGATTTATAAGCTCGTCAAAAGTAGGCCCGTGTCTTATATTTAGCTCCCACTTCCCGCCACACCTGTAAGTGACGTGAAGTTTCAGAATTCAGAATTCTGTTTTGGTCTTCTCTCTTTTCTCCCTTGCAATGCCTTGGAAGTTTGAAAAGGACATCCTAGATATCTGCTTCGAGATCCTGAACAAGAGCCTGTACTTCTTAAGGAACCCAGCTAAGGACTGTTCCCAGCGGAACGACGTGGTGTACGTGTGCAGGGTGGTGAGCGCCATGGTGAGGCCCGCAGTCCCCAGGACAGCCTGAGCTTCGCCGGGTGGGCACTGTGGACACCGCATGTCTGTCCCTTGCAGATCAACAGCAACGACGACAGTGGCGTGCTGCAGGGGAACTGGGGTGAGGACTACTCCAGGGGCATCAGCCCACTGCAGTGGAATGGCAGCGTGGCCATCCTGCGGCAGTGGTCCGCTCAGGGCGGGCAGCCCGTGAAGTACGGACAGTGCTGGGTCTTTGCCTCTGTGATGTGCACCGGTGAGTGAAGGGCTCCTGCATCTTCATGACCTTCTGAGGCCAGGCCGTGATTGTCTCTTTTCAGAGAAGTCACCTATGGCTCACGGGGTCCGATGGCTTGCCCGTGACCCTACAGCACATTGTCAGTCTTGGGGGCCCACCTGCTCAGAAGCTGTTAGAGTGGCCGCCTGAATGGGGTGGTTTGTGGTTGCGAGGCAGAGGCGTAAAGCTTCTTTCTTCCATCTACTGAGCCCCTAGGTGAGCCTGGAGTCAGGGAACAGGTGCGAGGATGTGGGGGTAACGGGCAATCTTACCTGCAGTCCTCTTGGAGACTCTTAAGAGTGGTAATTAGAGGTTAATTCTTACCTTGCTACCTACAACTAAGAAGCACTGATGTTTTATGCACTGTCATCTATTTACAATTTAGTGCAGAGTTGTTGCCCAGATTATCTGTGAAGGTGAGTGAAAGCCGGGCGTGGTGGTGCACACCTGTAAACCCCGCGCTCTGGGAGGCTAAGGAAAGAGGTTCTCAAGTTTAAGCCCAGTCTGGGCAACCTGGCAATTTAGCAAGACCCTGTTTCAAGAAAAGAAAAAAAGTTAACAGGGCTGGGGACATAGTTCAGTGTGAAGGCTGGGGCTCATCCCCAGTACCGCTAAAAGACAAAGAAGAGAAGGGAAAGAGGAGAGAACTGAGGCTGCTGCCTGTCTCCCTCAGGCAGGGCCCAGAGACCTCGCCTGGTGCAGCCTTGCCGCCCTGTGGAGCTCAGAAAATGTGTGCTTCCCTCGCAGACAGGCTCTGCCCTGGAGAAGGAGCACAGAGACCGGCCCGGCAGCCTAGACGGGCAGTTATGTTCAGGGGCTACAAGTAGTTTAGGTCGGGGTGCTCAAACCAAATGACCTCATTTTGCTTATTTGTGAAATGGGGTTGGGGCTACTTTGCACCAAAGCGTCCTTTCTTTGTCTTGGGCTGGGAAGCCAGCCAGCAGGGGTTGGGTGGGTGTTATGGAGGCAGCTCCGAGGCTTCAGAGCCTGGAGCTAGCAGAAGAAGGGCCAGGTCTGCGAGCTTGCTCACCTCCAACCCCTGACCCCTCCTGGGGCCCCATGAGCAGTGAGAGCTGCTCCCCCCGGGCTGCCTCAGTCCTGCAGCCCAGACTTGGCTGCCGCGCTGGCTGTTGGGCTGTGAAATGCGCGGCGAGTGCCAGCTGACTCTCCCAAAGCCCTGCAGTGAGTCAAGGCAACAGGGTTCTCAGCAGCCTGTGGACACTGCCCCTCCTGCTGGAAGGGAGACAGCTGGGTAAACCTCTCTAACTCCTCACGGCACTGACGGAGGTGGAGACCTGTGTCCCCAAGGCACGCTGACTCTTGGCTTGATTTCATCTGGCTCGAGGCAGGTGGTGGTGATAGGGGTTTGTGTGTGTGTGTGTGTCTGTGTGTGTGTGTGTGTGTGTGTGGTGCTGCTGGGGTAATGTCTGCTTCGCGTCCCTAGATCTGTGACACCTTCGCTCCGTTTTGAGGTTTTTGTAGCACTTCCCTAAAACACCACAAGGAGGAGCTGCTGCCTCATCAAAGATGGTGGCTGTCTCTGGTTTCGTCACTGATAAGGTTTGCCATTGCATCTCCAGACAAAATAGTGCCCTTCTGTCCGTTCCCTGTTGTCCTCCTTCTCTCGGCTCTTCCCAACTCTTATCTGTAAGTAGAACCGCAGACCCAGAACTTCAAGGCTGAAGGTCGCCCGGACCAGCTCATCATGCTGCTGAACCGACAGTAACAGAGGGGCCGGGCCGCATACGCGCTTTCAGTCAGCCTTCCTTTGGAAACTGGCCATGGCACAGGGCGAAGTCTTTACATTCTCCTTCTAATTATCAGATGACTTGGGTTCTCTGTTTTTAACTTGGAAAGCTGCTGAATGAAAAAAAGCCCTAGATGATAAATGGATTGTTCTTTATTGTTGTGAGTGACTCTCAAATGAGTTCTTTCTTTCTGTGTAATGGAAACCATTTACGGGGCCAGCAGGCAGTGAGTTCTGGGCCTGGCTGTGGTGCTCTGGGAATGAAGGAGTTACGGGTGAAGCACTACAAAAATCGTGGTTTCTTTCTCTCCTCCAGCTGAAAGTTAGAAATAAGGTATAGAAGCTGGGTGTGGTAGCACCCGTAATCCCAGCACTGGGAGGCTGAGGCAGGAAGATCACAAGTTCAAGTCTAACTTGGGCAATTTAATGACTTAGTGAAATCCTGTCTCAAAATAAAAAAAAAATAAAAAAAAAAGGGCTGGGGATGAAACTCAGTGTGAAGACTCTAAGTTCAATCCCCAGTAGTGAAAAAGAAAAAGAAAGGAAGGAAGGAAGGAAGGAATGCATGAAAAAGCAGTACTTCTGCTCAGTGACTGTCTTTTCCTTCTCTTCAGTAATGAGATGCTTAGGTGTCCCAACCCGTGTTGTTTCCAATTTCCATTCTGCACACAACACGGACGGGAACCTGACCATTGACACCTACTATGACCGAAATGCAGAGATGCTTCCAACTCAGAAACGAGACAAAGTCTGGTAAGGACACAGTCTTGAGCAGATCTCTGCTCTGTCCTGGCTGAGGGTGAAGGAAACTGATGTGGTTCACTGGGTCTGCCCTCTACATTGTAGCCAATGCTCAGAGAAAATCGCCCAACCCAGAGGCTGTTCTGCTGTTTAGATATCAAATCAAACTCATCTCAGAGCTAGACACTGAGAGGACATCATGAAGCCTTAACCAATTGCAGAATTGTTTGTCCTCAACCCTGCCCTAAGTTCTCTGTCAGCTTGTCACTTCCCTAACCATTCTGGTTGTGCCTTTCCCTCCCTGCCAGGGACAGCTGCCTCCGCCTTCCTCTGCTGGTCTCTCTGCGCGTTTTCCTCTCCTTGCCTCACCCGTTTCCTCCGCATTATTTGTGCATCTCACTTCCCCTTCCCCAGCTCTTTCGCCCTTCTCTACTCTCCCCCAAGTGTGGGTTCTCGCTTTTCCTTTCCTGCTAGTTTCCAGGTAAAGCTCTGGGCACGAGATCTAGCTGGTATCCTTCAAGCCCACTCACAGAACCTCAATTTCCTTGTCTGTAAAAGGCAGACAGCACCTATGTCACTGGGTCATTAGGGTGAAAGGGGAGACATACAAGCAGGTGGGGGCTTTCCCGCCTGGGGTCCACCCCTCTGCTCCCCAAGGACTCAGACTCCAGAAACACTGGGGTGTGTGAAAGTCTGAGTTGCTTATGTAGAATTCTCTCTCTGAATGTGTCACCTGAGTCTAGTCATGAGAAAATGTCAGGCAAGCCCCAAACAGGGGCCACTCTGCTAAAAAAAAGAGATAATAAATACTGAAGACCATTTTCAGAATGTCAATATAATATAAGTGAGGCTGGCGAACTGTTACAAGATCATAGTAACAGACAGTTAAGTCTGGTCCTAGACTGAATCCTAGGTCAGCTGGGATTAGGAACAGCATTAGGTCAACTGGTAAAATGGAAAGGTAGACATAAGTTAAAGTATTGCACCAATTTTAAGTCAAAGGTTGATTAACTGTTATGTAAAAAAGATCCCTATTCTTGGGAAATATATATTGAAGTGTGTGCACACATAGTGATGAAAAATATGGTGAATAATTTTAAAAAATGTATTATAGTAAAAGATACATTGCCATTAGCCCCCCCAAAATATTCCCCTTCACTTCAAACGCACTTATCCCATTGTTTTTGCTGCTCATGGAAGCAGTTCTGGAAGTCCTCCTTTGTGGGTATCTTTACGAAGTGTGATCAAACACATGGTGAATACCGCTGCCGAGGGCCAGCCAGTGGAAAGGTAAGCTTTATAAAAACATCACGGTGTGTCCTCGTCCACCTTATTCATCAGATCTGACACCATGTGACTTCTGGCTCTTCCTAAAGGCAAAATGAGCATAAAAGGTAAACATTTTGAATTGATGGAGGATGTTGAGGAAGCAATGACAGTGCAACTACACTTATGAAAGAGGATTTCTAGAGCTTCTTCAGAAAATGGCAAGAACTACCAGATCAATGTGTTTGAAGGAAGGGGGAGTACTCTGAGAGGGATTAATGGCCATGCGTCTTTTGCTGTAATCATCTTTGTTTGTTTTTTTGTTTTGTTTTGTTTTTGTCTTTTTGAGACAGGGTCTCACTATGCAGTTCAGGCTGGTCTTGAACTCACTTTGTAGCCCAGGCTGGCCTCAAACTCACAATGATCCTCTTGCCTCAGCCTCCTGAGTGCTGGGATTACAGGCATGTGCTACCACATCTGGCATAGTGTAGTCATTTTTAAAATCTAAGCATTCACCATATTGTTCAATCATACCTCATATTTGTATTAATAGAAAGCAAGTGGAAAAAATGTTAATAGTAGAGGAACTGGATAGATAGGTGTTCTCTGTGCTATTCTTGCAATTGCAAGCTTGAAATTACTTTCTAATAAACAGTAAAAGAAAAAGAGAAGGAACAACAAAACACCCAGCTTAGAGTCTAGTACCTGGTACCTGGCAAATGCTCAGTAAATGTAAGTCCTGTCTCCTGTCTCCCCTAACCCACAGGAACTTCCACGTCTGGAATGAGTGCTGGATGATCCGGAAAGATCTCCCACCGGGATACAATGGGTGGCAGGTCCTGGACCCCACTCCCCAGCAAACCAGCAGCGGTGTGTGCGGACCACAGAGGCGGGGGCTGGTCTCTGGGAGGGGCCCTGTGATCAGGAGGCTAGAGAGGAGCAGCGTCTCCCCCACTTCACCCCTGCCCGGAGCTGTGGCCAACCCAGCCTCAGATGGGGGGCCCAGCTTTGCGGTTGGCAGTGGGGTCACCTGGAAAAGTCAGTGGGCTTCTCGATTGTTTTCTTACCTGCAAACCGGGGAAGATGATGACGGCAACAGCCGCATCACATGGTGGCTCTGAGGACCAGATGGACTAAAGGGGGGAAAGTGCTTGGTAAACTGGAGATGACCCCAAGGATAAGGGTCACTAGTGCCACTGCCTCTCCTTTCTCCCACGGTTGCATCCGGCCACCCTGGCCCACGCGTCCGCACAACACCCCACAACTCCTATTGCCCCACAGGGCTGTTTTGCTGTGGCCCTGCCTCTGTGAAGGCCATCAGGGAAGGAGACGTCCACCTGGCCTACGACACCCCTTTTGTGTTCGCCGAGGTGAACGCGGATGAAGTCATTTGGCTCTCTGAGGATGGTGAGGCCCGGGAAATCCTGGCCCACAACACCCGTTCCATCGGGAAGGAGATCAGCACCAAGATGGTAGGGTCAGACCAGCGCCAAGACATCACCCGCTCCTACAAGTATCCAGAAGGTGCCTGGGCCAGGGTTTGGAGGAGGGGTGGACGTAGCTACCGGGATGGCTCCTCCTCGCGGCAGACTCCAGGGGGCATGTGGCCCTAGCAAATACAAATATAAGGCACTGGGTTAAATTTCAATTCCAAATAAATACATTCAGACAAGCAAATATTGTATTAGTGTGTCCCAAATGCATGAAATATACTAAAAAGTAGTTATGTCTTTGCAATTCACATTTAACTGGTTGTGGTTTTTAGTATAAACATTTTCCAATATCACATGCCTTATACTATACTAGAAATTCTTTGGCATTTATCTGGAATTAAAACTTAATCGGAAGTCCTGTATTTTATCTGGCAGCTCTATCACAGGATCACACTGCTGTCTCCCTGTCCATGGCAATAGGGGCGGTGACAAGGGCAGAGGTGGACATTCAGGAAGGAAAGGGCTCGAGGGCCGTAAGAGGGAGTGGACTTCCCCAGGAGGAGCTGCCTGGGGACTGAACAGGCCTCTGTCACACTCTGGCTGTGTGAGCTTGGACAGCCTCACCATCCCCATGCCTCCACCTCCACATCTGTACAGCAGGGCAGCTGGGGGGGGGCGGGTAGGTGAGCTGATGTGGAGAAAACACTATGGTAGACCCTCTGGCTCACAGTTACTGCTCCAAAAGAGGCATACTTTGGCTCAACTCAGGCCATGCCTCAATGTTGAATAGCCCCAAAGGCCAGAGACGGGATTCTATTTAAAAGACTCGAATGTATATTCTAGGGGACAGGATGCCTGGAAGCTTCTCTGACCCAGATGATGATCATAGTGATGAAGGTGGCTCTGTTGATGACAAAGGACAGTGCTGAGTGCCTAATTTCAGCAGCACACTTACCTCAGCTGGTGTTATCGCAGGCACCAACAGAAGAAGGGCCATGAGGGAGCAAGGATGTGCAGCCGGCGCGAGCAGCACCAGTGCCCGCATTTGCAGCCTTGTTGCTGCATTGCTCCTCGGGCTTCAGAAGGAAAGCTGGAAGTCCAGTCGCTTGTTTCCCCAAGAGAGCCATGTGTCCTCTCTCCTCCTCCTCACTGGTGTCTCTGCTGTGTCTCTGTTCTGCCAGGATCCCCCGAGGAGCGATCTGTATTCATGAAGGCTTCCCGGAAAATGCTGGGACAGGAAAGGGCCTCCTCATTCCTCCTGGATCTTCTGGGGTCTGCGGCCTTTAAGGCTCAGCCCGCACAGCTGCAGCTTTACCTGGCCAGGGCTCCCGTATGGGGCCAGGACCTGCTCCTCACCCTGCACGTCCGGAGGGTGCGGGACAGTGCCCATCCCTGGGGTACCATCAGGCTGGAGGTGCGGTTCTGCGCCCAGGCCCTGCTGCACAGGGGCAGCACCAGGGAGCCCCTCTGGAAGCAAGCAGTGCACCTGGACCTAGACTTCGGGAAAGGTGCGTATGAGACAGGCCGGAGAAGGCTCCTACACGGAGAGCTCCCCGGTCCTTTGAACTGGGCTTCCAGTGAGATCACAGACAGCCCCTGCCTGCACGCACAGTCAGCGTGGGCAGCGGGCTGCTCTTGATGGACACTTAAATGCCCATTGAGGTACATCTAGCGCCATCTTGCCAGGCAGAACAGCAGTGAGTTCTGGGGGCCAGCTGTGCCGGTTGAGTACTGTCTGTCTGTCTCTCTTTCTCTACATGAAAGCTCAAATTTTTCCCTTACCCACATATTCTCTCTCCCTTCCTTCCTCCCTCCCTCCATCCCTGACTCACCCTCTGGACTCAAGACATGTTTGTCTGTGCACAGAGATACACTGGCCACTCCTGCTGCCCTACACCAATTACAGAAACAAGCTGACCGATGAGAAGCTGATCCGCGTGTCTGGCATTGCCAAGGTTGAAGAGACAGGGTGGTCGATGCTGGTCCTCAAAGACCTCTCTCTGGAGCCTCCGTACTTATCTATTGAGGTGAGGTCTGGGCAGAGATAGGGCCCTCGGGGCTCTCCGCCTCACCCAGCACTGGTCTTGTGGGAGCAGCAAAGAAGACAGTGTCCCTGCCTCGGACACAAAAGTGATGATCACCGTGCAGCATGTACAAAGTGCAGGGTGGGGCATGGAGGCACCTAGGAGAGGCGACAGTCTTCTAAGGATGCCTAGGAAAGGTTAGCAGGGGCTGTGCCCATTACCCAGGCAGAGCCCTGCTTGTCACAGGGCCTGAGAGCAGCACAGCAGAGGCTGAGTGGGCTGGAAATCGGTCCCCAGGGGTATGGGACTGAGGGACGGTTTGTGTGACTCTCCTGGAACCCAAAGTCGTTTTAACCCTGTCTGCTTTGATACCCTCAAGAAGGGCTTGGCCCTTTTGTTTGAATTCTAGAAGGGCTGGGTGTGCTCCTCCTTTTCCCTGATTCTCTGGTGAAGCCAGCACGTATCCCAGTGGTCAGAGCTCATTTCAGCTCAAGAATCACTTACCCACAGCCCTCGCCTGGCTGGTACTGTACTAGGACGGGAGCTGCAGAAGTGAGTAGGACAGAATCCCTCCCCAATATAGACCAAGGCTGTGCAGCCTGTGACACAGACGTCAGGAAAAAGAACTGGGAACCGCTGAGAAATCTTGAGTGGACAGGAGGGCACAGCAGTATGGGGCAGATTCAGTGCTGGGGTCAGGCCCTCCGGGTCAGGTCCTGGCTCTGCCATGCACACATCATAGGACCTTGGCTTCTTTGTATCCTCAAGGTAAAGAGAAAGGTCAGGATGGCTTCACTGATACACCAGTGGCACACATAACACTCCTGTCTTCTCCCATGCCTGCACCAGACATTACTAATTGATCATGGTTGATGGGATTTGTTCTCAGGTTATCTCTTCGCCCAGCATAAATGTTAGACACCTCTAACCCTTTGGAGCTGGTCCTTCACTTGAAATCTACTAGGCATCTTAAATGACATGGTGGGGAGGGAAGCAGGCTCCTGGCTGATGGTAGCTTCCTGGAATAGCTTGACTTCCAAAACAGGCCAGCATATGTGTTAATCTCAGATACTTGTGGTTCACAATCTTCCCTCTCAGCAGCAGCATCCTATCTCTAAGAACCAGTCCTGGTGGTGCCAGGGGATGGGGAATGAAGGCTACTGCCTGGAGGGCAGAAGCGAGGCCCATTGCCCACAACGCCTCTGTCTTCTTTCTACACAGGTGTCCAAAAGAGCAGAGGTGGGTAAGGCCCTGAAGGTCCACATCGCGCTCACCAATACTCTAGCAGTGGCCCTGAGTACCTGCACCATGGTGCTGGAGGGAAGCGGTCTCATCAATGGGCAGATAACAGAAGAGTAAGTAATGCCACTGTCCACCTCTCAAGCTGGTCCCTTGTGGAGGGAGGCTCCAGATGGTACCTCTGTGTGCCCGCTTTCCCAGCCTCCTCAGGAGAGGGAGAACTCGGTGGTGCTATGGAGTAGCAGGTGCTCACCCACTACAGGGGACGCAGAACACCCACATGAGCTGTCCATCGCTCCTTTGGGTTCTAACAGTGTCTCTTTGACTTCCAGCCTCGGGACTCTGAAGTCTGGAGACACCCTCCAAATTCAGCTGGACCTCTACCCCAGCAAGGCTGGGCCCCGCCAGCTCCAGGTCCTCATCAGTAGCAATGAGGTCAAGGAGATCAAGGGCTACAGGGACATCTTCGTGGCTGCAGCTGCAGCTCCCTGAGCCAGATCCTGCCTTCCTGGTGCCCCTCAGGGCTCCTGGCTCTACCTCTGCCCTGGGGGCAAATGAAGAAACAATGCAGATGTCCATATCGCTGGTGGTGCAGCTCCTGTGTTGATCAGATATTTATTGCTGCCAGTTTGTCCTCTTGGTCTAGCTGCCGACTATGGCTGGGAACCTTCTTGCTCCCTGAGCCCCCACTCTGCCCCCTAGAGGCCGTCCACCCCAAGATAAACTCCACAGCCCTCTGATTGCCTCTCTGGAATGAAGGATCCAGATTTCTCCTGCTCCTTAGTCTCAGCAAACCCCAAGCAGAGGAAGCCATGCAGGACACCACAAGCTGTGCCTGCTGCCCAGCAGGGCGTCCTTGCTGCCTACCTGGGAGCACCTAGCATGGTGGAGGAGCCCTTTCTTGGCAGATTTACACCCCACAAGCATTACCCCAGGCTCCCCTCAGTGCAGGCCCCCCAAGGCCTGGGAAGTACTTGTAGCCCTTCTTGCCTACACCCCTTAATCTTTATCCTCTCCCTATCACCCTAACTCTCCTCAGTTGCTTTTATGTTATTATTTTCCGGACAGAGGGAACCACTGTTTTGTGCTGTTTTCCTTATGGTTATCAAAATCATTTGTGTTTCTTCTTGATAGTTTGGGAAGAACAAAAAATGTTCCCACTCCACAGGAAATCTCTTCCTTTGAGGATGGGAGGGTTGAACCTACGGAGTGCTGAGCTATACCCCAGTCCTCTAAAAAAATTTTTTTTTAAATTTTAAAGTAGGGTCTTGCTAAGTTGCCCAGGCTGGCCTCAAATTTGTGATTCTCCTGCCTCAGCCTCTGAAGTAGCTGGCACAGGTCCATAAGTTCCTCACATTGTACCCCACCCAACTTGAAGAGAAAAACTCTAACAGACAACCAGTCTGTTCAGACAGAAAGCCCCTCACTCAGCTTGAGAGACTAAAGTAAATCTGTTTATCAGGATGATTCCCAAGCCTAGTTCTCAGGTTTGCAGGAAACCTCGTAAGTCTACAGAATGCCAGTCTGTATTTCCCTCCCCCAGAAGCACCAGACCCACCAATCACCCCTGAGAAACTTAAATTTTCCACCTTCCTCTGTGGAATTTCCCCCTCCCATACCTAAAATAGTCTATAAAGGAGGCTTCCTTCCTTTGTTCAGGGCCAACAGCTTTCTCGTCCCTGGCTCAGGCTGCACCCAGCCTGAAATAAAGATATTGTTATTTGCATCAATCCTGCCTGTCCTGGTGGTCTCGGTCGCTAGCCTGACAGTGCCCAGCTGCTGCTAACATTTTGTAATACGTCTTTGTGCTCGTTTTCCCTCTTTATTAAAATGTTTTTTTAAAGTTGTCATTATAAATTGATACATTCTCCTCATAGATACAAACTATGATAAAATACAGCTAATGTTTAAATTAAAAAGTTATTACAGTAAAGGACACACATTTCCATTAATCCCCCTCAGAAGTACTCTCCCCTGCCTCAGACACGCCCTTTTAGCCACTTCCGGCAGCAGCTCTGGAAGTCCTCTTTTGTGAGTGTCTTTAGTTGCACTATCCTGGTTGCCTCAGTGTCCTGAATTGATTCAAAACATTTCTCTTTCCTGGTCATTTTGTCTTTGGGGAAGAGCCAGAGGTCCCACAGAGCATGATCTGGTGAATAGGGTGGGTGAGGACACAGCATCACGTTTTTACAAGCCTGTCTTTCCGTTGGGTGACACATGGCAGCAGCAGTCACTGAACATTTTATCACCCCTCATGAAGATTCTTACCAAAGAGGACTTCCAAAACTGCTGGAGAAAGTGGCAAGAATAAGTATTCCAAGTGGCGGGAGTGTTTTGGGAAGGTTAATTGTCAGGTGTCTTATGCAGCACTTAATACATTTTTAAACATTTACTATATTTTTCAATCAGACCTCATAATTTTGTTGCTGTTGTTCTTTGAGACAGGGTCTCACTATGTAGCCCAGGCTGGCCTCAAACTCGAGGTAATCCTCCTTGCCTCAGCCTCCTGAGTGCTGGGATTACAAGTGTGCACCACCATGCCTAGCTTCATAATTGAGAAAATCCAGAAATCCAGAAAAGCAGAGCATCTTCCGGTTGGTTTTGAGGTGTGGGGCCTCACTCTTGTCCACACCGTCCCTGCTTCATGGCTCTGCAGGTTCATTTGGCTCCTCCTCCCTCTTTGTCCTGTCTGTCTGTCTTGCTTGCTTGCTGTCCTTCTTTCTGTCTGTGTCCCCAGGCCTGTGCCTTCCCAGCCCTGCCCACACTGTAGGCTTGGTGCAGGAAGGGCAGGAGCCTGCATACCTTACTGTGCCCTGTGTGCCCACTCTCCCTGCCCCATTGGCACTGCTGGGCATTTCTGTGTGTCCTAGGTGGCTCCCCACCCTTGGGTCAGGGCCACCTGTGCTGGCTCCTGTGGAAATGTAACAGTTGCTTGTCTGCTGAGTTCCAGGTCCTCCTCTGCTCTGTCACTGCCTTGCTGTCCTTTCTCTGCTGTGTCACCAGAGCAGGGAACAGTGAGGGGATCCCCAGGGGCATGTGGAAATTAGTTATGTCAGTCTCCCCCATCTACCAAGCACACATTTCCCTCTTCTCCCCTAAAAACTGGCTATGGCAGCCACACTCTGTAACGTTTTCTTATTTCTTCACTTTCCCACCTCAGCTGAATGAGCGATGCCATTTCAAGGCTCCCTTCAAGCTTTACCTCAGGATGCAGGGATCTTCCCAGTTACGAGATTAGACCCTGGGTTACCTCCCCACCAATCACCTCCCAACCACCCAGTGAGGCCAACAGTGGGCCAGGCGGGGGCTCCCACAGCTGAATGGGGGCAAAAGAAATGTTTGGAGGGGCTGGGGATATAGCTCAGCAGCATAGTGCCTGCCTGGCAAGTGCAAGGTCGTGAGTTCGATTCTGGGTACCCAAACAAAGAAAAAAAGAAAGAAATGCTTGGAGAGTGGAGCGGGAGGAGCACAGGCAGGGCAGCAACAGCCCTTGACTCTGGTCCTCCAGCCCCTTCCACAGTGTCATCCTTAAATCCTTTGGGCTGGCAATTCTGGGCCCTTAGACACCCAGCATCATTACATGATACAAGGCATCGGTCCACAAGTGTGGAATGACATCGATGGCAGTGCCACCCCTGCAAGGTTGCTGTGAGGATCAGATGAGAGGGTGGACTCTACAGAGCTTTGTTACCTGTGAACTGCGTGTTCACGGGCAGAGGCCCTCTGATCATGCTCATCCCTTCTCCCAGGCTACGGTCTCCATTTCGGGGGCTAAGAAGAAGGAGGGGGCAGAGGGCACACTTGGACCTGTCCATTCTGGCTTCCGTGTTTGACTACCTGTGGGGAATCTTTGTATCCTCCCCTCAGACTCGGGCACCCAGGCATCATGGGTCTGATTTTACAGACCAGGAAACTAGCACGTTCTCAAAGGCCACCACGGCAGGCCAGAACTGGCCCCCAAGGCTCTCTGGGCCTTGGAAATCTCTGGAGCCAGCACTCGCAGGCCCCAACCTACCCTGCCTCATAGGAATTGCAGGAGTGTCCACCTCACTGTCTTAGGCGTCCCTCCCTTGAGCTCACAGCCCTGATTCCATCCAGAAAGGAAGGCACTCATCAACTCTGCTTAGCTTCCCTGGACCAAGGAACGCGCTGCTCTGACCAGAGCCCACACCTACCCACACGCCCTCTGACTAATGGTCTACAGGAATCAGACGAAACGCTGAGCTTGTACAGCAGCTCATTAGGCCTAGAGCCCAGGTCTCGTTCAGCCCCCAGGGGTCCAGGCACAGGAGGAGTTGTGGGTTTTCCTGGCCCTACCAGCAGGCATCATGCCCTGTGATGCTTCCAGTCACTCCCTGTCCACGAGTCCTCTCAGATGCCTCCCGACCATGCAAGGTCCTGGGGAGGTCAAGATCTGCATACCCGCCCTGCTCCAGGTGTGGTGAGGGTGTGGGGTGCGTAAGGCTGCTCAGAGGTCAGGCCACATGGGCTGGGACAATTCAATAGTGGTTGCTGATGGCTCCAAAATGTTCTCAGCTTCCCCAGGTGCTCTAGGCTGGCCCTGGGGACACCATGTTGTCTCAGTGGCCATCGAAAGACGGTGTATCTTCTCCAGAGCTTTCCACCCTACCTTCCACTTTCCTGTCTCTCCTCACAACAAAGCTCTGTGCGTATGTTCTTCGTCCTCCCCTGCCAGCCCATCCCAGCACATGTGTGGGGTGTGTCGTGTGTTCAGGTATTGATCCTCTTGTCCACGTGTAGGCCATGTTCTAGATCATCCATTCTGTTGACAACACACACGTGAGCTGGGAAACTGGCCGTGTTTTTCAGATAACACATTAAGCACTTACGGAGTTCAGGAACTTGACTGCACTCAAAAGCTGGCTCACCAGTTCTTCATGAGGAATCTGGGTCTTTAAGGCCGTTAAGCCTTGACTTCCTCATTTCTAGTATAGAAACAATAGCACTCCTAAGCACTACAGACATCTCTATTAAGTGGGATAACGCATGTCAGAAATTTAACACTGTCCCTGGTACTACTTAAAAGCTATTATTAATTCTATTAGTAGTTCCTGCTACTAGCCATTATCACTATTAAGCACTGGTGGTAGTATTAATAAGACACCATCCATGACTCTGGGGGAAAGGGGATGGGGATATCGGCAAGTATTTATGATGTTGGCTAATAGGGAATGCAGGACAGCAGCCCCCAAACTCCCAGCACGGTAGAGGGAGAGTGTCAAAAGGCCCTCCCAGAGCAGATTCTCAAGCCTGGGGACTTCAGAGAGTAGGCAAACCAGAAAGAGAGAGACCAGCACATGAGAGTGCAAAGGTGTGGGAGAAGGGTCTCCGTCAGGAGTTCATTCTGCCTGGACTCCAGGCGAGGAGGGAAAGACCCTCAAGAGCTTTGAGGATGATGCTGAGAAGTCTGGGCTTGACCCCCTGTCAGATGGTAAGCAGAAGAGCAACCCGGCGGACCTGGCGCTTCAGAAAAATCTCTGGGGAGAAATCGGAGGAAGGAGGGTGAGAAACTAGTTCAGAGTTATTGTCCAGGCAAATGAGGCTTCAACAAAGGCCTCTCTAGACAGAGTGGTTACTTTAAAAGAAAGAGCTATAAACACTGGGGGCTGTTAGCCCTGAAGAGCTCCAGAGACCAGCGGCCGACAGCGCAGCAACTGACAGAATCCGGCACTAACTGCACTTTGCGGCCTCAGGATTTCTGTCTGAAATGAGTGTAAGAACCATCAGCTGAAATGAAAAATAAAAAAGGGCAGGGGGTCTAGCTCAGTGAAAAGGCCCTGAGCTCAATCTGAGGTACAAAAAGAAAGAAAGAAAAAAAGAAAAGAGCGAAGTAGGGACAGAGAGTTGGAAATATAGGAGAAAGGACAAGGCTAGTGAACAGCTTCCTGACAGAGAAGGATCCAGAAAGCAGGGTGGCGGAAGAGGCTCCCCACAGCAGGAGAGGCAGGGCAGGCGGTGTCCCACCCCCGCCTCCCTCTCTGTTCTGTCTGCTTTCCTCCCCATGCACTCACTTTCAGGACTCGTGTTCTCACTAGGACCAAGGTCCTGAATCTTGACAGTCCATCCTCTCACCTGTTTTCAAAACTCCTCTGCGAATCTCCCTGGTGTTTCTTCCTGTTCTGCTTTTATTTGAGATTCACCTTGGATCTGGAAGCTCTCCTCCAAATCAGCACTACTACCAAAATAAATGCAGTGAAGTATACCAAGGTTGGCCGAGGTGGTTTAGCCTGCATTTCATGCCCAGAAAGTGACTATTTGGGGTAAGAGAGAGGGGGCTCACAGAGGCTCTCTTGGTTGTGAGCTGTAGTCCTGGGACCCTGATAGTCTTTCTGCAGAGGTACAGTCCCCTCCATCACCTGAGATCCCCATCTACTCATCTCTCCTTCCTGCTCCCCTGCCTCCCCCTGTGCTCCGGAGCTGTCAAAGGTCACATGGCACGAAGCCCTGATGGTTCCTCAACCTCCTCACCTCCTCTCAGCTGAGCAACCCGGCCAAGAAAAACCAGAGGGCAAGTGAGAAAACCAGTTGCGATCTGCCCAGTAAACAGGTGGCAGTGCAGAGCCGGCCCCGCCTCTGGTGTCTCCAGAGCCCCGGGATGGAAGAGGAAGCAGACACGCTGGAGTCAGTCTCCTGACGCTCCAGTCCACCCAGCTGTTCTGTGGGGAGCAGCCCCGGAGCCTGGAGCAGCCACCATGGCCCA